GGCGTACAAATGCAGGTTTGGGCAGGTGCTCTGCGTTTACTAGCCACCTTATGCTGGCCAAATCAATTAAACTCTGCAGGGCTCAGTCTTCTCATCTATAAATTGGAGCTAATAGTTCTTGCATACCTCACAGGCTTGTTTTGAAGATCACATCAAATGAGATAATTTATGTGAAAGCACTTTAGTGTCATATAAATGTGAGGTATTATCTTGAACACTAATGAATAGCTTACAAACACAAATGAATCATTCCTTTAGACTTAACAGGTAGCCAAGTAACTTCAAAACTTCAGAGCTTCAGCCAGACAGCCAAACCCAGGAATGAGTTAACTCTCAGAGAGATACCAAGAAGACTTGGAGGTCGGGCTCCTGGTCCCACCCAGTGTTGCTCAGGCCCTTAGTGAATGAACAAATGACAGTCGTCAAGTGAAACCAGGCTCAGTGCCCAACCTGAGCGCCTCGGTGCCTGGTCTGGAGGCAAGAGGCTTTAGGAAAGGCACCCATTTGGAGGCAGTGGACTGAGTCCGGCACACCTCAAATCCAGAAATGGCTCCCAGACACCCACAAAATCAAGTATAGCCACCCAAGGGCCTAGAGGCCCAGAGATACCACATTTTTCAGACTCATCTCCCGCCACATCCTCAACAAATCCTAGGCAATGCCCCAATCCTTGTCATGCCAAGCACTTTAACTTTATACCATTCCTTTAAGTCCTACTCTGTCTTACTTTTCTTAAATCAGTAAGAAACAATGGATGTCAGTGCATCACATTCTAAGGTATAACTGAAACAAGTGATTTAAATAAAAGTATTAGCTAGCAAACAGGTAAAATAGCCTTTTCCTTAAAGCAATAATAAAATATAACCTGAAAAGGTCAATAATAAGTTTCCATGGTAGTTTTCCTGGTAAATACATTTAAAACTTGAGTCTTCAAAGGTTTGATCAAAACGCATTTTCAAGCACCTAGCTTTACCAAGTAATACCTGCCAAGATACAGTGAGTTACGTACCCTGCAAAGGGCTTCAAATGAAAAGCAAGGGCTGTTATAAACAGGACAGAAATTCACATGTCAGCTTCCACTGATATGTGCAGGGCAGTGGAAGGAACACTAAATTGGGACTCCAATCTGGCCCAACACTCACTCACTGGATGATCTCAGCGAGTTCCATAACCTCCCTGGACCTCCATCCTCCTGTCTATAAAATGAAGAGAGTAAATGACCATGATGATCTTTTTAAATCCTGCTGCGAAATAGTCCTTTCTCCCTCAAGGTCTTGCATAAAAACACCTCCTCAGGGGAAGTCTTCGTTGATCCTACCAATCACATGAATCATGCCTTCCTCTTTATTCTGACAGTTTATATGCTTATATGCTTACAGCTTATATTCCTTATATGCTTTTTAAAAAAAATTATTTTCGGCTGCTCTGGGTCTTCAGTGCTGCACAGGCTTTTCTCTAGTTGTGGCATGCGGGCTTCTCATTGTGGTAGCTTCTCTTGTTGCACAACATGGGCTCTAGGCCACACAGGCTTCAGTAGTTGTGACTCCTGGGCTCTAGAACACAGGCTCAGTAGTTGTGGCACATGGGATTGGTTGCTCCACGGCATGTGAGGTCTTCCCGGACTAGGGATCAAACCCCTGTCTCCTGCATTGGCAGGCAGATTCTTTACCACTGAGCCATCAGCTCTGAAGTCCCACCATGCCCAAACATTTGAACTGAACAGTGAACTCTGCTGATCCTCAATCTTGTTCTACCTGATGCCTCACCTCCCTTCTACTCTGACCACTGCCTTGGTTGAGAATCACTGGTGTAGTGTGAAGTGAATCAGGGACTTTAATGAATGAGAAGGGGTGAGGAGTGAAGGACAATCTTAGACATGAGCTGTGGGAAACTGCATTGGACATTAGCGCTTACAGTGTAGGAAGGTGAAGCTACAATGATAACAGCATCAATGAACTTGCAGTGAGTCTGTGCTAAGTGCCTTCTAAGCGCTTTGCCTGGACCGAGCCATACAACAAGGCTGGTGAAGAGGGACTGCCATCATTCCCATTTTGCAAATGGGGAAGCCAACGCACAGAGAAGTTAAATGTTTGCTTCAAGGTCACAAACTAAGTAAGTAAAGGAACCAATATGCCTAAGTCTGACTCCAAAGTCCTCTTTCTTAACTGCCTGCAGTGATTAGTACAAAGATGATTATAAAGGCACATTTACAATCCCAACATTGCTCAACGTTGTATTATGATTTCCATCCATTCTCAATACAGGATGTAACAAGCAACGATTCTTGGCTTCACTTGTTAAGATTAGTTATAAATGCTGTCATTTTCTACACAAGCTACACTCTCTAGGAAACCACCATCTGATTAGAAAGCATCACCTTCTAGAATGATCAACTTTTGATTTCTGCATTTCTAAACGATGAACTACAAAAGCAAGAGACAGAGAAGCTGGAAACAGACATGATGAGGTAACCCTCCAGGGACTGCTCTCCTCACCTGTAGACACTTAATAAGTTTGTGGAATCAAATGGTGTCTGGGGGAAAAGTTTCTACCCTCTTCTAAAACACAGATGGAAGGACTTTCCTGGCAGTCCAGTGGTTAAGACTCTGTGCTTCCACTTCAGGGTGCACAGGTTTGATTCCTGGTCAGGAAACTAAGATCCCACATGCCATGGAGAACTAAGCCCACATGCAGTAACAACAACCTATGTGCCCGCACCCTGCATGCTGCAACTAGAGTCCATGTGCCACAACGAAAGATCCCACATGATGCAATGAAGATCCTATGTGCTGCAACTAAGATTGAGTACAGCCAGTGCAGAGTCTTCTCACCTACCCCTTACTTCACCCGAGTGAAAACTGAATCCCAGCCTCATTGCCCTGCTCAGACCTCAGCCTCATGCCGAGACAACAGCCTCACTGGATCCCCTGGTGGCAGCTCTACCCGTCACCTACTATGTCCTTTCTGCAAACTGACTTTGAATATTTTCTTTAAAATCCGATTATGTCACTCCTCTGATTAATATATACATCAGTGGCTCATAATTGCCTTCCTCAGGAGTTCTCAGCGTCAAGGTTCCAACACATTGGCTAGATCCAGTGTGAAATTTCCACTAATAATGAAGTACTAAACAATTTATAAATATAGAATACTTAAAATAGTGTCCAGCACACAATATTATATAAGTGATGCTGTGCTGTGCTGAGTCGTGTCTGACTCTTTTCAATGTTACGGACTGTAGTCCACTAGGCTCCTCTGTCCATGAGATTCTCCAGGCAAGAATACTGAAGTGGTTTACCATTTCCTCCTCCAGGGGTTATTCCCAACCAAAAGATCCAACCTGCATCTCCTGCATCTTCTGCATTAGCAGGTGAATTCTTTACCACTGAGCCACCTGGGAAGCCCTTATATCGGTGTTATGCATTACCAATAGTGAAAATTTAAGACTTATGAGATAGCTGTAACAGATGTTTCTGGTGCTCTGTGTACAACCCCACAGCCCACTTCTGATTCAGCTGCAGCTGCAGGAACAGTTCTGTACTGACTGTATCACTCCTCAAGGGCCCTGTGGTCTCCCTGCTTTTCTGTGCCAGAGCTGCTTCTTTCCACAAGCTCACTCAGACAATGAGCAGAGCAGCCTGGAAGTACAGGAGCATCTGTAGGGACTAATTTTCTTTTTTTTAATTTTTTAAATTTTTTTATTATTTTTTATTAGTTGGAGGCCAATTACTCTACAATATTGTAGTGGTTCTTGTCACACATTGACATGAATCAGCCATGGATATACATGTATTCCCCATCCCGATCCCCCCTCCCACCTTCCTCTCCACTAATTTTCATTTTATGACTTATCTGCCTCCACTTCCTACATTGCTACAGCTACCACCATAATCCTGGGGAAAGTAACAGAAATCTGAGTTACAGCTTGATCAGTGTACCACTTCCTGGCACATTTATCAACCTGGAGTTTCCTGTGACACACCAACTCCAGGTCATATGCCTACCCTTCTGATCCTCCTGCTTCTGGCCACTAGCACACGTTGAGAGGGCAACACCTGAGCATCTGCCTCTCGAAAAGAGTCAGTGGGCTGAGGTGTAAAAGAAAACAGAGATGGCAAAGTCATAGGTCACACTGCCACGGAAGGTATGAAAAAGAAATGGAGGAGCCTTGAGACCTGGCCTTTCTTCCGCCCTAGGCTCTTAACGTAGTTAAATCAGCCAGCAAGAGAGACAGAATGAAGCACCTCTAGCCGCAGTGTAGACCGAAGGGGCATCAGAGGCTGACACTGCGCAGGCGCAAGACGTAGGGTAGGGTTGCCTCCCAGGCTCACCCAGCGGCCTCTGCTACACAAGGGCCACCAGAGAACACAGTACAGTGCCCCGCGGAGTAACCTCTCGCTCGTGCTCCCTCTTCCTCATGAGGCCCTCAGACCATTGAGGTCTGAGGAAGGTCTGGGAATCCCCCCACCCCCTTCTAAGGCCATTGGGCCGCCTCTTGTTCCCCACTCACGGCCCGGCCGAACCTGGAAAGATGGTGGTGCCAGCCTCAGGCGAGGGGCCAAGGCTGGAAGGGCCGCCAGGTCGCTCAGGATCGACTTTCCTCACCCCCGTTCTCACCTCTTTGTCCTCCGCCTTCTCTTCAATACCTAATAGCGCGTACAGGTCCATTTGTAAGAGCTCCTTGGTCACCGCCATGGTTCCAACTCTGATTGGATTAGTACTACAACTCCCAGAAGTCTAAGCGTGTGGGGCTTCCCGGGGACTGTCGGCTCCAAGCCAGCTGAATGGTGAACGAACTACGACTTCCAGCAGCCCTCGCGCCCGCCGCTGCTGCCTTCCCGCTGGGGTGACTGTCGTGAGTCTCCTGTCGGAGGCCTTGGCTGGCCCGCGCGAGTGGGCGTGGTAGGCAGGGGCGGGGCTGGGTGAAGGTGCAAGGGGACCATACCTGACCCGCAAGAGCTCTGCTCTGCGGATCCTGCCGCGCCGCACCGGGAAACAGGATGGAGAGTAGGTGCTACGGCTGCGCTGTCAAGTTCACCCTCTTCAAGAAGGAGGCGAGTCTCTCTTCACGGGCTAGAGGGAGGACGCGAAGTGGAGGGAAATACACGGGACTTACAGTCCTAGACTTGGTTTTATGGCCCCTCTCCAGACGTGTGGTTTTGATGGAGCCACAGAGCCTCAGTTAACATTTCTATAAAACGGGGCTAACACTCCCTTGCTTTCGGGGTTGAGGTGCTGGATGTGAGTTCCCTGTAAACTGTAAATCGGGCTCTTGTCATTTTCGGAAAGCTAAGCTTTTCTGTCCGCCAAGTGTAGGATCTGGCTGTTTCTTTCCCTCCACCCTGCTCCTCCGCAGCCCAGTCTTAGTTAATAGTCTGTGACTACTCTCGACCACACCATGCCCGTTACTCTTTCTGCCCTGAAGCCCTCACCATCAAGCAGCCTGCCCTTTCTCGTCTCCAGGGCAACATAGCAAAGTCTCACTTGCCCTCAGCACAAACCTGCCAAGTTCCCATAATAAACAGCAGGCTTCCTCTGCCTCAGTGTGACCAGGAGAGAGCAACCAGATAGGAGGGATGAATAGCCGGTAGGGAAGCAGATCATGGAGCCCTCAGAAGCCTGGGTTTTGTAGTCAAAGTGGTCAGAATTCAAATTGGGGCTCTGCTGTCATTCACGGGGGTGACCTTGATTTGAGCAAGTCTAGTAACGTCTCTGATCCTGTTTAAGAATGATAGTGGTTGTCGTCAGGATTAAGTATGATAGTGTGTATAAATTGAGGATTAAATCAAGTGATGAATGTTAAATACTGAGTTTAGTGTCTGGCTCAGACAGTAAGGAATCTGCCTGCAATGTGGGAGACGTGGATTCAATCCCTGAGTTGGAAAGATCCCCTGGAGAAGGGAGAGGCTACCTACTCCAGTATTCTTGCCTGGATAATTCCATGGACTAAGGAGACTGACAGGGTACAGTCAGTGGGGTCACAAAGTGTCCAACATGACTGAACGGCTTTCACTTTTCACTCACACAGTAAATGCTTAATAAATGGAGGCTATTACTAGCATCCCATCCTGAGTCAAGCCTCCTTCCATCTGTGCTAGAACAGAGAAGGCATGGGCCCTGCATTCTCTTTCTCCTCTGTTGAAGAGTCTGACCTGAAGCATGGGACTTTGCCTATTTGTTGTTTACACTCCTGTGTCAGGGAATTGAAGACCAAGTAGAAAGCGTGCAAATTTTGCATAAAGCTTTATGAGATTTGAATAGAAGACTAGAGACAGGAATCGCTTTGCTCTCCACCCCCCATCTCTCCCCAGGCCTTAGGGGCCCCATTCCCCATCCTCCTCCCAGCAGCTGGTCACAGCTTCAGTGTCTGCTCTGTGTGTGTGTTCGAAGAGTCCCCGTGAGGAGCCTTCAGGGGTGGGTGAGAGGTAGACTCCTTGCTTCATGTTTCTTGTAGTATGGCTGTAAGAACTGTGGCTGGGCCTTCTGTTCCGGCTGCCTTAGCTTCAGTGCAGCAGTTCCCCGAGCTGGAAACACTCAACAGAAAGTCTGCAAGCAGTGCCATGAGGTTCTGACCAGGTGAGAAGCCAACACGGGTGACGGTTCAGCCAAGCTTGGCAGCTGGCAGCTGGCCAGGCCTCTCAGCCTTGTGCTCTGTGTCTAGAGTTCGACTCGGGAACTGTTTGGGGTGGAGGGCACTGATAGGCAGATGGTGGGTGACTTCTGACACCAGATTTCTTCTCTGTAGAGGATCTTCTCCTGCCAATGCCTCCAAGTGGTCACCACCTCAGAACTATAAGAAGTAAGTGCTGAAGGGACAGAGATGAATGGGGAGAGGAAAGGACACAGGAGCCATAGGATAAGAGTCTCTTCCCAGCCTGTAGCTTAAATGAGCCCAGGGTCAGGAGAATAGCTGCCTGTCCGGCTCCTGACTGCCCTCCTGGGCTCAGAGAGCAGCTCATCAGTCCATGCCCCAGAAAAGGTTCTTGGTAGACCTCACCCTCTCAGCTGAACCCTTCTGCCAGTTGGCTGGGTTGGAGTGCAGGGTGACATGAGTGATGGCCCCAGAAGATTGTCCGTTGGAGGCCTCCCTAGCTGCCTAGAAATGATTTGAATGGGAAACAGTGAGAGGGTGCCTTCACCCCTCCCTTCTGCATCCATCTAGAGCCTCTGTCTCATATCCTGCCAGGCGTGTGGCAGCGTTGGAAGCCAAGCAGAAGCCCAGCACTCCCCAGAGCCGTGGACTGACCCAGCAAGATCAAGTCATTGCTGAGCGCCTAGCACGGCTCCGCCAGGAGAACAAACCCAGTGAGCAGGCCCAGAAAAGACACCATCCAGGGCTCCTGGGAGTGGGATCCCTCTGGACCTTACAAGGCTTCTTTGTGCCAATTGCAGAGTCAGTGCCCTCACAGGCGGAGATAGAAGCCAGGCTAGCCGCACTCAGGGGTGCACCCCAGGGTCCCGTCCCTTCCGCCCAGGAGATGGAGGCGCGGCTTGCTGTGCTACAAGGCAGAGTTCCATCCTCTCAGGGCCCCCAGCTGGTGAGTGCTGTGACTTTGGAGGGGTGGAGGTCCTGGGGCGAGGACTCAGCAGAAGCCCAGATACATGTATGCTTAGATACTTCGCAGGAGTACCTCCTGCTCCTGAGGCCTGCTGCCAGGCCAAGGAACCAGGGACAAGCAGCAGGATTGGATGGGGCAGCAAAGAGTGGCCCCTGGGTTCTGTCAGGGACTGCCAGACCTACTTGATTACGTGCGCTCTTGGTTAGTCCCCTTTCCCTGAGTTTCCAGGAGTTCCCTGAGGGAACTCCTCAGCACTCAGCCCTGACCTGAAGTGCTCTGAGCCTTATGATGCGGCTTCCCCCCTACCCTGCTCCCCACTGAGGTTCCCTCCTCTGAGCAGGCACATCAACCACCGGACCCCAGGACCCAGGTGCAGCAGGCGGAGGATCTGCTGACACAGCTAACAGCGGAGGTGGCTATTGATGAGAGCTGGGAACGAGAAGGCCCAGGTATATCCTCCACCTGGCTCCCCCAGGGACCCACCCCCTACTCTTTCCCCAGGTGGGAGAGGCTCTGATGCTGACACTCTGGGAGGTGAATATAAATTAGAGAATATCAACATTATAAGGATTGCCATTTATTGAATGTTTACTCCAGTGGGAGCCAGTGTAAGCCTAGTGGATTAAGCTCAGACAGTGATTCCCTGTTCTACCGCTTAGTAGCTGTGTGACCCTCAGCGTGTTACTTGACCGAAGTCTCACTTTCCTCATCTGTAAAGTGGAAAGATGTGTGGTAAGACCTACCTCATGGAGAAGTCATGAGGAGTAAATGGGCTATCCAGGAGTGCTTAGGATCCTGCCTGGCTCATAGTAAGTGAATGTTCTCTGTGATGATGATGATAAGAAAGAAGAGGCTATTTACTGAAAATTAAAGTTAAGATTGAGTTCCTCAGTGGTACCAGCCACATTTCAAATGCTCAATAGTCACAAGTGACTCATGGCTATGATCTTGGACAGCACAAATACAGACCATGACGTGACATGGAATGTTCCCATCATCATAAAAAATTCTTTTGGACAGAGCTCTTCAAAATCTTCAAAGCAGTGGTTCTCAACTATGGTGATGATTTTCCCTCCAGGGCCCAATTGGCAATGTCTGGAGACATTTTGGGTGTTGCAACTCAGAGGGTACCACTGGTATCTAGTGAGCAGCAGCTAAGGATGCTGCTGAACATCATACAATACACAGGACAGCCCCCACTACAAAGAATTACAGGCACACCTCAGAGACATTATGGGTTCAGTTCAAGTTCACTGAAATAAAGTGAGGCACATGAATTTTTTGGTTTCCTGGTGCATATAAAAATTATGTATACTATACTATAGTCTATTAAGTGTACAATAGCATTGTTTTAAAAAATGTACATACCTAATTTTAAAATATTTTATTGCTAAAAATGGTTAACCACCATCTGACAACATAGAGTTGCCACAAACTTTCAATTTGTAAAAAAAAGAAAAAGCAATTATCTGTGAAGCACAATAAAACAAGGTATGCCTATATCCTGTCCAATATGTCAGTAGAACCAAGATTAAGAAACCTTGCTTTAACATGGAACTCTGCTCAATGTTATATGGCAGCCTGGCTGGGAGGGGAGTTTTGGGGTAGAATGGACACATGTATATGTATGGCTGCATCCGTTTGCTGTTTACCTGAAACTATCACAAATGCATGCATATCCCAATACAAAATAAAAAGTTTAAAAACCTGAAGGAAAAAAAAAAAAAAGAAACCCTGCTTTAGGGTAATTCCCGGGTAGTCCAGCGGTTAGGACTCTGCACTTCCACTGATGGGGGCATGATGCCTAACTGGGGAACTAAGATCCTGCATGCCATGTTGTGCAGCCAAAAAAAAGAAACTCTGCTTTAGAGATACAGTCTCATTGAATATCCTTAGTAATCCTATGGTTATTATCTGTATTTTATAAATGAGGAAATTAAGGCCTGGTGAGCTTAAGGAACTTGACCAAGGTCACACAGCTATTAAGTAGTGAAGCTGGGACTTCAGCCCAAAGCTGTCTAACTTCAAATGTCTTGTACTAAAACTCTGAGCTAAAGGGGACCATGTCAGAGCCACACCCACTGAGGTAAAATTCTTCCCCCCTAGTGACATTCAAGACCTCAGCTTCCCTCGTGTCCTCTCTGTGGTGCTCCCTAGAAATGCTGATTCCAGCCTGTGAGGCAGAGAGCCTGGCTGGACCCTGGCCTGCCCATCTTCTGCTGCTTTCAGGCAGTGATTCTCATACCATGGGGCACCCACCCTAAGCGCAACATGTTAAAGTATCAGGTGGGTGGGGATGAATTTAATTGAAAAGAATGTCTAAGATTACTAGTTTTTTATATTTGGGAAAATGAATTAAATAACTAATTTTATTTGTAATATAAGTGACAGGAACTATTGTGGAGCAAAAAGCTGATAATTTGTGGGGTTTTGTTTAAAGTTAAGACATGGGCTCAGTGGTTTCTGATGAGAGATCCCGAAATGTCTCCCTCCCTGAATGCATCACTCTATCTAGCCACCTCTATCCAGAACGACCTCAACCGGGGGGGCCCAGGGGCCCAGAGCACCAGTTCCAGGGGGCAAGCCACCTGGTCCCTGGAGGAGGAAAAGAGCAGGTTGCTGGCTGAGGCAGCGGTCGAGCTTCGGCAGGAGAACACGCGGCAGGAGCGCATCCTGGCCCTCGCCAAGCGCCTGGCTGTGCTGCAGGGACGGGACCCTGATAAAGGTAAAGGCTGGTAAATCAGCCCCTCACTCGTGTCCCTTGGGCAGGCCCCCCAACTCCCATCCCCAGGCCAAGCTCTGCACAGTGGCTGTACTCTCTGCCAGGCTGAGTCTATCGAGCACTGCCTAGAACCATGAGACAAATGGTAGGGCAAAACAGTGGATGAAGAACAAGGGGCAGCCCTCAGGGGGCAGGGGCCCTGGGTGCCTTCAGGTGCAGAGCCTTCTGTTCATGCTGTCCAGCCCAGCAGAGGGGGCAGAGTGGGGGTCAGAGCAGAGAGGGGTCAGAGCCACTCTGATCAGAGTGGCTACAGAGGCGGCTTAACTCTGAAACGAGTGCCGCTGGGAAGCACAGCACTCCTGGGGGCAGCAGTCCAGCCGCTCCGGTGAGCTCTCCACCTCAGTCCTCTTCCCCTGCTCCCCACCCTCCATCTTCAAGTGACCCTCCAGGACTACCACCTTCCAGACAGCGATGATGAAGAGGAGGAAGAGACGGCCATCCAGAGAGTCCTGCAGCAGGTTGGCCCTGCCTGACCCACCTGACCACCCCTTGTCCGGTCCCTGCTATGCTGCCCCACCATCCCCCCTGGCCCCATTCACTCTGCCCACCCCGACTCTGGGGCTCGCTGGCTAGTCATTCTGCAGCTCCTGTTCTAGCTGGGGTCCCTCTGCCCCCGTGACCCACACCTGCCCCCTGGGCCCTTGAGATGGGACATCAGCAGCCACAGACAACAGATCAAGGAAGATGGGTTGAGTGCTTAGGCCACAGAGCACAGAAATACTGTGCATTGGGTTGGCGGTGGGGTGGTGGTGCCTGGAGCTAGGAGCTGTACCTCTTCACTCTGTCCACAGCTCACCGAAGAAGCTGCCCTGGATGAGGCAAGTGGTTTTAACATCCCTGTGGAGCCAACTCCCCAACTCCAAGACCAGTCCTGCAGGGCAGAGCCTAAGGTGAGAAGAACCACAGACACAGCCCCCCAGGCTGCCATCATAGCCTCCCTCCCACCTCCGTCAGGTACCTGATGTCCCCCATCCCTCCCTGGTCCTTAAAGGCCCAGGCCCTGGCCGCCCGGCCCGAGGAAGAGGAAGACGAGCTCCCCTGGTGCTGCATCTGCAATGAGGATGCCACCCTTCGCTGTGCTGGCTGCGACGGAGACCTCTACTGCGTCCGCTGCTTCCGGTGGGTGCAGATGGAATGTTCTTTGGGGCTGGGAGAGTTCCAGGGCCGCCTGTGATCTCTGACCTATATCAATGCTCCACAGGGAAGGCCATGATGCCTTTGAGCTTACAGAGCACCAGACATCTGCCTACCAGCCCCTGCATAAAGGCCGAGGACACTGAGGGAGCCCTGGTCCTCCCGGGAAGGTCATCCTACAGGCAAGCACACGGGCTGGGGTGCCCTCCGGGGCATCTGATGGGAGGACATGTCAGGCTGGACTGCTTATGAATGTGCCCTTTCCTAAGCCTCCATTCCTGGAAGGAGGAAGGAGTCTCCGTTGGAGACAATGACTGGAGGAGCCAGAGGGAAGGCAGAGGTCAGGAGCCTTCCAGCATTGGAGTCTGGATTGGAAGTGAGCGACAGGGCAAGACCAGTCTGAATCTAAGGAGGAGCCTTGAAACTTGCTCAAGAGCCCAGGGCCCTCCACTGGCACTTGAAGGATTTAATAAAGTGTGTGATTCATTGGACCAGCATCTTTTATCTATAGAACCCTATGGATCCTGAGCGTGGGCCCTCAGAGAGGTACAGGAGCAGAGTCCTGTGAAGTGAAGAAGAAGGAAAAAGTTTCTCCAGGCAGGAACAGTCCCGCCCCTGCTGGTGGCTTCACATGCAGTAGGCATGCCCCCAGGCCCCACCATCTTGGATTACACAACCTTTCTAGTACTCAGACACTGCCTACACACACAGTGAATGCATTCCCTACTTCTGGCCTTACTCCCAGAGGATGCCACCTCCAGGGCTCCTATCCCCACCTGCCTGCCATTCAGACCCAGTGTCAGTTTTCAGTGGCTCCCTCCTCACCTGATTACTGGGCTCTCAGCCTATACCCTTTACACCCCTCTGCTTAGTCCCTGTTTTTGCTCTTTTGGCCTCTGGCTTGGAGCTGGCTCAAGAAAGAGTCCTCAGCCTGAGGCCTGCTGGATCAGTTAGTTGGGGAGGAAGGTTTAGCTTCTGATGCCCCCAGACCCAACTAAGTTTTTCCAGTTAACTCTTCTGTTGGTCTTTGCCACTTAGGCTCCTGTTGGTGGTACCAGGATGCTGTGTGTCTTAGCCAGGTGCCTTCTGCTTGGCCTCTTGGACCTTGCATGACGGTGATTTCTCTGACACAGAACTGTGACCTCTATCTTTGAATTCTCAAGGCATGTGTGGATGGGTTGATGGACATGTAGACGGGTGAGGTATATGGGTGAGCCTAGTGACTTGGATGCTGGCCCTCTGGTATAAGACTTCACCCTCTCCCTCCCCCGTCCATCAGCACAGATATGCTCCACACTCCATGAAGCTGGTGCTCCTGAAGGTTTTATCCACTTGGCTGATGGGAAAGCACTGGGCAACTGCCATGACTGGCTCCCAGACAGTGCAGCTGACAGGAGCCAGCTGTGACTGCACATAGACAGTGGTGTTCAAATGTCCCTCCTCATTCTCCATGTTCGTCGTCTGGGTCCCAAGGAGCTGTTTCCCACCCAGCCGAGGATCCAGGGGTTCAGGGCAGACTGGGCAGTGCTGAGGCTGATGAAGCTAGTCTCACAAGGCTTATTTCTGAGGTCGACTGAGTCTCTGAAGTTTCTTGAGTTGACTGAGCAGCTCAGAGATAAAAGGCTGAGAAAGAAACAGAGAAGCAGAAGCAGGGATGAGATCAAGTTATGGGGTCACACCCACCACAGTGCTCTCCCTAGTCTCCACCTGACCCCATGGCCTCAGAGTCAGGGAAGGGGAGAAGGACCCAGGACCAAACCTTCCTCTTCACTAGCTGCCGGCCCACTCTGCCCCTTCTTACCCCCAGACCAGCAGAGCATCCCTTACCTCTGTGGGGCGGGGGCAGTTTTGGAGAATAGCCTGGTGGAAGAAAGCAAAGAGTGGGTCTCTGAGCCACACCACTTTTTCACAAGTCCCCAATCTCCCAGGAATTTTCCCCTCTGAATTGGTTCTCCCCACACTGGATGGGGAAGCAAAATCTGGGTTCTTGGGTTCCCCTTGGTCTGAGCCCAGCTTCCATCCCCCAACCCTTGGTCTGGGGCCCGTCACCCATTCTACCTCCAACTGAGTCTTCTGCTCCTCTGTGGATAGTTCCATGAGAGCCTCCAGGTCGATCTCAGGCTCTGAAGAAGTTGGTTGATCCTGTTTGGGAATCACATGGGGCTCAGAGGAGCCCAGCCAGCTGGTGCTGGAGTGAAAGGCACTGTCGGATTCACCCATCTCCCACTATTTTCTATGTTCAGTTCCTCTCCTTACTCAAACCACCCATTCATCCTTCCATTCAACAGTTACCAAACACCTACTATGTTGTACCTGAAAGTCTAGGGTTCTTTTAAAAGAGTATCTTTAATTTCAAGAGTTATAAACATTGTTAGTAGGGATATAAAATGGTGAAGCTGCTTTGGAAAACAATTTGGCAGCTCCTTAATATGTTAAATATAGAGTTATCATTTGGCCCAACAATTCCACTCCTAGGTCTATTCCCAAGAGAAGTGAACATATATATTCATGTAAAAATCACATATGAATGCAGTTCATAGCATTATTCGTATTCAAATGACCATCCAAATGGATAAATAAAATATTATGTAGCCATACAGTATTTTTCAGCAATAAGAAGAAATAAAGGGCTGTGTCTTGCTACAACAGGGATTAACTTTAAAAACATGTTAGTGAAAGAATCCAGTTACAAAGGCTTCATATTATATGATTTGATTTGTATGAAACATCCAGAATAGGTCAATCTATAGAGACAGAAAGTAGGTGGGTGGTTGCCTAAGGCTGGGAGTGGTGGTGGGATGGAATGGGGTGTGACTGCTAACTGGTACAGGGTTTCTTTTATGGATAGTAAAATGTTCCAAAATTAGACCATACTGATGGTTGTACAACCTACGAAGATAAAACTATTTGGATTTTACACTTTAAGTGGGAATTGTATGGTATGTGAATCATCTCAATAAAGCTAACTTTGAAAGTTATTATAGTCATTGCAAAAATTTAAGCAATACATAGTTTATAAAATTAAAAATTAAAGAAGGTAAAGAGAGTAAGAAACCAAACCATTGACGGGGAGAACAAATTGGTAAAAGATATATCTGATAAAGAATATCTAAAATATACAAAGAACTCTCAAAACCAACAATAAGAAACAAATAATCCAATTTAAAAACAGGGAAATTTTGTATATCTGCCTCACCAAAGAAGATAATGAAGATAGCAAATAGCATATGATGCTAACATAATATGTTATTAGGGAATTGCAAATTGAAATAACAGTGAGATACCATTATATACCTATTAAAATGGCAAACAAAAACAAACCTAAAATACCAAATGCTGATGAGGCTGTGGAGTGAAAAGAATACCTGTTCATTGCTGGTGGGAATGCAAAATGGCATAGCCACTTTGGAAGACAGTTCGGTACTTTCTAACAACACAAAACATACTCCTATCACACAAAACAGCACTTGTGTTCCTTGCTATTTATCCAAATGAGTTGAAAATATATCTGCATGGAAACCTGCACATGAGTGTTTATAGGAGTTTTATTCATAACTGCCAAAACTTGGATGCAACCAAGATGTCCTTCAGTAGGTAAATGAGTGAATAAATGGTGGTGCACCCAGACAATGGAATATTATTCAGTGCTAAAACAAGATGAACTATAAAACCATAAAAAGACATGGAGGAAGCTTAAATGCATGTTACTAAGCAAAAGAAACCAACCTGAAAAATCTGTATACTGTACAATTCCAACCAGATGACATTCTGGAAAATTACAGAGACAATGAAAAGACCAGTGGTTGCCAGAGGTTACAGTGGAAGAGTGGTGAATGGGTGGGACACAGGATTCTTAGGGCAGCGAAACTACTCTATGTGATACCAGGAGGGTAGACACATGTCATACATTTGTGAAAACCCTTAGAATGTATAACACCAAGAGTGAATCCCAATATAAACTCTGAATTTTGGGTAGTTATGATGTATCAATATAAATTCACCAGCACTAGTACTCTAGTGGGGGGATGTTGATAGTGGGATAGCTATGCATGTGTGGGGACAGGGAGAATATGGAAATTCCCAGTACCTTCTGCTTAATTTTGCTGTGAACCTAAAACAATAAAGTCATTAAAATTAAAAATAAAGTCATTAAAAGAGAAAAGCTGCACGGCAAAAGAAACCATCAACAAAATGAAAAGGCAACCTACTGAATAGGATGAAGTATTTGCAAATCATAAGGGGTTAATATCTAAGATATATAAAGAACTCAGACAATTCAATAGCAAAAAAATCTAATTTTTAAAAATGGACAGAGTATCTGAATAGATGTTTTTTCAAGGAAGACATATAGATTGCCAACAGGTAAATGAAAAGATATTCAAAATTACTCATCATTAGGGAAATGAAAATCAAAACCACAGTGAGATATCACCTCACACCTGTTAGAATAGCTATTATCAAAAGGACAATAACAAGTGTGTCTATAAGTTAGTAAAGACATATTTTTCATTTTACATCTTCGTGTACCATTATATTATTTTTAAAAAAATTTACCATGTGCATATATTTTTAAAATAAAAATAGCAAAAAAAAAAAATAACAAGTGTTGGTGAGGATGTGAGAAAAGGGAACCTCTGTGCCCTGTTGGTAGAAATGTAAATTGGTGCAGGCACTATGGAAAATGTTATGGAGGTCCCTCAAAAACTGAAAAATAGAACTACTGTATAACCCAGCAATTCCATTTCTGGATATTAATCCAAAGAAAATGAAAGCAATAATTCAAAAATGTATATGAACCCCCATGTTCACTACAGTGTTAATTTGCAATAGCCAAGATATGGAAACCACCTAGGCGTCCATCAGTGGGTGAACAGATAAAGAAACTGTGGTGTATATATATGCACTGGAAAACTATTCAGCCATAAAAAAGAAATCCTGCCATGTGCAACAACATGAGTTACATTGACAATATTACGTTGAGTGAAATAAATCAAAGAAAAACAAACACTGTATGATCTCACTTATATGTGACATTAAAAAAAAACATCAATAAAAGAACAGATTGGTGATTGCTGAGGTGGGGATGGGGAAAGGCAAAATGGGTGAATCAAATCAATAGGTACAAACTTCCAGTAATAAAACAAATAAATCATGGGGATCTAATGTACAGCATGGTGACTAGAATTAATAATTTTGTACTGCCTATTTGAAAGTTGCTAAAAGAATAAATCTTAAAAGTCCTCCTTGGGACTTTCCTGGTGGTCTGGTGGTTAAGAATCTTCCACTGCAGGAAGCATGGGTTTGAAAAAAGAAAAAAAAAAGTCCTCCTGTCAAGAAAAAATATTTGGTGGCTCAATGGTAAAGAATCTCCCTGCCAGGGACTCTCCTGGTGGTTCAGTGGTTAAGAATCTTCCTTCCTACCTTCAGAAGCAGAGGACATAGGTTCAGGTTTGATCTCTAAGGGGACTAAGATCCCACATGTCACAGGTACCACAACTAGAGAGAAGCCCATGTGCTGCAACCAAAACCCAACACAGTCAAAAAAAAAAAAAAGAATCCAACTGCCAATTCAGGAGGCAAGGGTTCCATTACTAGTCCAGGAAGATCCTACAGGCGTCAGAGCAATTAAGCCCGTGCACCTCAACTATTGCACCACAACTATTGCCCCACAACTCTAGAGCCTGGGAACCACAACTACTGAGCCTGCACACTGCAACTACTGAAGCCCAGATGCCCTAGAGCTTGTGCTCTGCAATGAGAAGCCACCAAAATGAGAAGCCCTCGCACCAGAACTAGAGGGAGGTGCGCACGGCAGTGAAGACCCAGCATAGTCATAAATAAATAAAATTATTTTTTTTTAAAAATTGAAACTATGTATGAAGACAGCTGTTAACTAGACTTATTATGGTAATCATTTTGCAATCTACACAAATATAAAATCATTACATTGCACACCTGAAATGAATGTTGATTACACCTTAATAAAAATGTTTTTTAAAAATTTAAGGTGTAAACTCAAGGTTTTGTAGAGCTTCATCAGGGACTTTCTTAAGTGAAAGTTGTCTGATGGGGAAGATCATGACTTCTAAAACAGGTTGGTGCAATTTTCTTGATTCATGGCAAGGTCTACCACTGCTTCTGCATCATCAGTGCGTATATCAATATAGTTGAAAAGATAAACAACTTCTTGCATTATTTATGAAAATAGTTGTAGACCTGCTGAAAAGGTTCTGGTGTCATCAGAACACACTGCAAGAACTGCTGTCTTCTCCATTTTTCTATGGGGTTGTTGAGGGTTTTTTAAAACTGATTTAAGAAGCTTATTTGTTTGTTTTGATTCAGATTACCCCTAGCATTCCATGTGTCATGGATATATTATTTGGGGGAGGCATTGGAGAAATAGGTGTATTATATAATTGGAAATAATGTTTTTTTCTCCAGCTTGAGTTTTGCTTCCTTTTTAAAAAAATTTTTTCTATGCCTAGGAGGATCTTCCTATACTGATTTGGGTAAATATTTGATATTCACCTTACATTTTTCTAGATACTTGATAATTTCACCTTTTCTATCTGAGTATTTAATTCTCTGGAATCTATTCATTCAACAAATGTGTCCAGTGGCTACTATTAACCTGGCACTCTGACCTTGGGAATTTCGGTGAACAAAACAAAGTTCCTGCCCTCAAAACCTATCTTAGGGGCAGTTGAGGAGACATAATAAAAACAGATGCATTAAGTAATTTAGTTGTATAAATTGTCTAAAAGTAAATGCTATTGGGGGGAACTTTTTGGGTGGTGGAAATGTTCCATATCTTGATGAGGTAATGGTTACCCCCTACTTTAAAAATAGGCAAATTTTATTGTCTGCCAATTATGCTTCAAAAAGTTGATTTAGAAAAGAAAGAAGGAAAAAAATGCCACAATTACCTTCTCGTTCCTTCCACTGCCAATGGTTAATCACTAACTAGTTTTGGTCTTTGTATACCCTTTTAAAAGTAAATTAGTGCTAGGATTCTAAGTTAGTTCTTTCACCCTAAGCTCTAGACTTTCTCCTTTGCGTCCTTGGTTTCTAGCTCATCTGATTTAGCATTCATTCATTAAATGCATCCTTATTGAGAGCATGTTGTGCACCAAGCATTGTGATGAGTCCTGGGGCCATAACAGCAAGACGGGCAGATATGGTCTTACTCTTGAGAAGCTTATCTTCTCCAGAGGGATACAGACAAGCAAAATGGTAGTTATAATACAGGGTGATAAGCACTCTGATGAGATATTATAGGAGCACAGGAAAGGGGAACCTAGCCAAGACCGGGGTTTAGGAAGGCTTCCAGGAAGAAGTGACCTCTAATCTGAGACCTGAAGGCTGAGTAGGAGTTAACAAGATGTTTATACTTCTGATGATGGGGTAACAGGGACCAGATTTATTCTCTCAACATAAGTAGCTAGTCAGAAAATAATTAGAAAACTAGACAAAAATAGATGAACAGTGTTCTCAGAGTAACTCAGCACTACCTGGGAAAGAAGGGAAATGAAAGAGATAAACTCTACAATTGTCCTGGGTTTCATCCTGAAGGCAGTTTCCCAGACCTCAGAGCAGAGAGGCAGATCCCAAGCAGAGCACAGTGGTCATACTAAATTGGTATGACAGAGATCAGAGTTTGGGGTTGAGGTGGCTGTAAACTGACAAGTTCTAGAGAGGAGGGAGTTATGAAGAAAGAGACCTCCAAAAACCTGCATAAGGGCTCTCCTGGGCTTTTGCTGAACATAAGGTACACATTCAGAAGGTAAAACTTCACGAGGCAGATACTATGAGACACCGCAGGCACAGAAATGAACAGTTCCCTGACCTCACAGAGGACTGATAGACAAATCAAGTTCCACTCAGACAAATCAAGTTCCACTCAGCCAGAGTGGATGGTCATCCCTGATCACCCAGGAATTCAAGAGAGACCTTACATTTTTACAGTTGTAAGTTGAATAGATTGTTTTTTAAAATGTCATCACATCAAAAGGGCTGCTTCAAAATGCATGGTGTCATGGAAACTACAGGAATGTTTCAAAGCTCTGGGGTGGTCAACAGTGTCCCCTGCTGATATGTACACTAGATTTAGCCCCCCAGGAAGTGATACTTGACTTTGCCAAGAGGTGTCAATAGAGTGGTGGGAACAGAAGTCAGGTTGCAGCAGTTTGTAGATTACAGTGGTTTGAATAGTGATAGGAAAGGAAGGGGGAAATTTAGTACAGTTTCTGTGTGCAAATCCATTAAGGAGCCTTGTAAAGGAGACAGGAAGTAGGGAATGGTAACCAAAGCGGGGCATAGTGTTAAACAAGAGTCTCCTTAAAACAGAAGAAGCTCACGCGTGTTTAAGTCCCTGCTTAGAAGCCGAATCTACACAACCATTTCTGGACAACAGGAGCTCCAGGGCCCCAAGTCATTTGCCTTGTTGAACCCAGACTTGGCTCTTCTCAAGACCCTAAAACAGGCTGCACACCCAGTGAGAAGAGGTGGGGCCCTCCAACAAAGAAAGGTTGGGTCCCATTAAACTAACTAAAAACAGTGATGCAACCTACTCCTGGAACCAATCCCAGCAGTGCTATCTAAGGTGGGCATGTGGCCGGGGGTAGGGGGGCAGCTGGTAGAGAGGGACTCTATGAAGACAGAACTGAAGCAGGGTAAGCTGGAGACTTAGTTGCCTCAATCTCTGCCCAAGGTGACCAGCGTCTACCTAGGGCTTCCCACCCACTTGCCTGCTTCCTGCTGAAAAGAGGAGAGATTAGGACAGGAACTCCCACCTGACACCTTTGGACAACTGCCATGACAACAGAAGGTCAGGTATTTTATTCCAGTCATTTCCTGGGAGTCGTCTTCCCACATGTCCTGTTTTCTAACAGGACATGTTATGAGCTCATAATTCTACAGCTTTTCCCCTGCCTTGATCTTGCAAAACAAGATTCTTTGGCTATTGTCTCTCTCTAATGCCTGGAAGGATTTGCCCTGAGGTGTCTGAAATAGGAGACTTTTTATCCAAAGGTATAACAATCTGAAATTGAAACAGGTCCAGAGAGGGAGGGTGCAGGCAGGAATGAAGGGCAGGGCAATGTCCTGCAAAGTCAGAGTAGTCACAGGCCAAGAAAGTTTGCCTCTCCTGCTCCCAGCTCTAGGCCATCTCCTCCCCTCCACAAGTGCGGCCAGGGACACGGTCAACACCTGGACCAAACTGATATGCGACACAGTGAGCCTGACAAGACAGCCTGGGCCACATGTATCACTCTTTGCCATCCTCACTGCAGGACCACTGACACGGCTCTTACCTGGGAGAGTCACAAACCCTTGCCGTCCCCCAAGAAAAAGACAGGACCTGAGTAAGGAAGGAGAGAAACAAGGACCATGGTATGCGGACAAGGAGGACTCTGGTCTCCGGCTTGGTGCAGAGGTTCTTGCTAGCCTCACACTAGGATCAGCAGTGGAGCTTGAAAAAGACCAGTGCCTGGGCCCCACCCTAGTAGACTGAAATTCAGTTGAAGTGCAACAGGGGCATTGGATTATTTCTGAAGAACTTCGGGGAACCACAAAGCTACTTGAATAAACATTCAGGTGCTACAGGCAGAGCCCCAGCTCAGCTCCTGGTCCCAGGGCTCCCTAGTGGTGTGACCCTGGGCTAGTTATTCAACATTTCTAAGCCTCCATTTCCTCCACAGTAAAACAGTATCTGGGCTTCCCAGGTGGCCCAGTGGTAAAGAATATGCCTGCCAAGCAGGAGATTTGGGTTGGATCCCTGGTTGGGAAGATGCCTTGGAAGAGGAAATGGCAACCCTCCCCAGTATTCTTGCCTGGGAAATCTCATGGACAGAGGAGCCTGGCAGGCTCCAAAAAGAGTCAGAAAGGACTTTGTGACTAAAAAACAACAAAACAGAATTTACCTAATGGACTTGTCGGGAGGGCTGGACACTGTGCTTAGGGTACGGTTAAGTGCTCAAAATGTTATTCTTGTTGTTGGAGCAACCTTTGTTACTATACTAGGATCTCTATTTGGAGGTATCTAGATAAAAAATAAAATGCTGCTCTCCCAGGATGTGGTTGAGGGGAATCAGTCAGAGCCAGGGCCAAGGCTAGGTCAGGCGCTGATATCAGTGGTCACTATTGGTCACTCTGACATTCTCCTCCAGCACTATCCGTTCTGAGATGATGGAAAGGTTTTGTATCTGTGCTGGCAACTCGGTAGACACTAGTCACCTGGAGGTATGGGACACTTGAAATGTAGCTAGTGTGGCTGAATGACTGAACTTTTAATTTTATTTAATTTTCATCAGTTTAAAGTTAAATAGCTGAGAGTTACAGGAGTGAACAATGTTGCACTAGACAGGTATGTGTGTTGAGGATGAAAGTAAATACAGACCTAAAATAAAAATAGTTCCTCTACCATCTCATCTGAGCCTCAAAAAGTTCCACAAAAGGGGTACAACAGGAATTGATAGCCCCATTTTATAGATAGAAAACTGAGTCTCAGAGATGTTAAAAGACCTGCTCCAGATTATATAGAGTGGGAGGCAGAGCCCAGACCAATGGGAGACCAGTTTCAGGACTGCAAAGCCATGCCTCACCTGTGGGAAAAGCTTCCTCTCCATAGAGCACTTCTCTTGTGCCCTCCAGTCCCCAGGCCCGCCAGGTCCTACCCACCTGGAAGAGCTCCTGAACCTGGGTGTCCACCCACTGCTCCATCTCCACCCAGCGCTGGAGCTGCCCCCGGTCATACTTCACCGTCAGCCGGCTGGGTTTCCGGGACCGGGGTCGGAAGGGGTCGGACTGGGACTTTGACTCGGAGTCCGTGGATGAGGTCCTCCTCCTCCTCCCAGAAGCCCACTGGACCTTCTTACTTGGATTCTCCTTGTCGGGGTTGGGAGATGTGCAGGAAGTAGGGCTTGAAGACAGCATGGAAGGACTGGTTTGGGCAGAGCTGGGAAAAATTGCCAGTCGGAGCAGGAAAGCCGGAGCGAGGGCAGAGGGAGAGGCCAGCAGGGAAGAAAGAAAGGCGGGCGGAGTCAGGGCCAAGGCTTCTGGGGGGGCGGGGGTCAAAGATCAACTGGCCTTTGTCTGGTGCTGGGAATGCCAGGCTCCTGGCTCCAGGCTGCCAGTAAGTGGCACTCCAGAGCTGTGCCCTGGCCTCCCTTTCTGCAGCTGCTGCAAAACAGGGATATAAACTGCACAGGAACAAAGGTCAAGAGGGTGCCATGCCTCGGAGGTAGAAGAGGCCCTTGGGTCCTGAGGGGTGCGGGGCTCTAACCTGAATCACACTCACCAGAGAGACCTCAGCAGCCGCTTTCCTGGGACTAGATCCACTGGCCTTCAGAAGCTACGTTCATAGGGATCCTGCAGGAGGGGGGTCCCTGGCTGGCAAGTGCTCCTGCTCAGAGCGTGGTGCTGCCCAGGGCAGAGTCGCATCAGGGATAGAGGGGTGGTGATCTCTGGCCCTCATAGGGGCAGCACCCTCTGGTGTCTGAGTGTGAGCTGCCTTTAGGACTGTGAGGGAACAGGACTTCCCTGGCCCTGTGTGTTTGCAAAGGTGAACTTGTCTCCCAAGCCCATTCCCCAGAGGCAACTGCTTAGGAAGCCATGTTGATCACCACATGACCCTCCCCTGACTGAGGCCCCCTGACTGAAGTCCTGCAGACCTAACTTACCCAGGTGTCAAGGACTATTACTTCAAGACAGACTTGCATTCTAAAGGAAGGGTGTTTTTGTCTCTTCAGTCTTTGTAACAAAAATTTCCAAAAATTTTAGAAAAGTTATACAACAGAAGAATATATATATGTACACACAATATATATATATATATATATATATACACACACATATTTAATGAAGAGCTAAGAAGGACAAATAAAGAATGAAAGTTACTCTGTTCTCCCCAGCTCCACTCCCTAGAGGCAGTTTCTGTTCTTAGTTCTCCTGTGATCACCATTATCTCTTTGTGTAATAACACAAGTGTGTCCAGTTTATTTTATTTTTTATCTTCTTCACCGTGCCACGTGGCATGTGGGATCTTGGTTTTCTGACCAGAGTCTTAACCACTAGACTGCCAGGGAAGTTCTAATTTACCCATTTTAGACAGTATCTCTTGTCTCCTAATATGAATGATAAGAAATTAGCTCCCTCACTCATACTCCCTCATCCCCTTTACTTCCTACATTCCTATTTTTATTTATGTATTTCTTTTTCATGAATTTCTTTTTAGGTCTTAGAGTGGTTGCCTTTGTGATGTTGCGTTTCTGTTTCTAACTTATCAATTTCAACTGTCATACGTGACTCCTACAAGAGAGTTTTAGACAAAAACCGATTGATGAGTCTTCAATGGTGATATTTTAGGCCCTAAGTTAACCCAGTTGGGGAGGTGTTTGAGGGTTGGAAGCCAGGATGGTAGCCTAGAAACACCCAGGCTTCAGAGGAAGGCTGACAGATCCCAGTTCAAACTCAGCTTTCCCCCGCCTTGGTCTAACAACCCTCCAGTTTCACAACCTGAGTCTGCTTTCTCATCTGCAAAATGGAGTTTGGAGAAGATTAAATGAGATGCTGGGAACTTGCCTGGTGGTCCAGTGGTTAAGAATTCACCTTGTAATTCAGGAGACATGAGTTCAATCCCTGTCGGGGAACTATAGACCCCACATGCTGCGGAGCAATTTAAGCGTGCGCTGAAACTACTGAAGCCCGCAACTGCTAAAGCCGGAGTACCAGGACAGATAGTCTGCGCTTGGCAAAGATTCCATGTACTGCCACTAAGACCCGAGGCAGTCAAATAAATATATATGTAAATATTAAATGAGATGATGTGTGTAAACATTTAGCACGATGTTCTATACAGAGTCCTTTCTCAACAGACATCCTTTCTCTTCCTTTCTTTGCCTTATCCTCCCTGCTTTCCTGGTGAGGCTCTGTCCATCAAAAGCTGGCTCTGGAATTTCTCTGCAGTGGCTTCCTTCCTGATCCTCTTTGGAAGAAGATGGCAATAAGAAGGGGGTAGGGAGGCCTCTAAAATACAGCCTGTAGACTCAGTTGTTACCTTGATGACATGTTACACAGTGTGATAGGCATTATTATAATGCCCTCCCCATTTTGTTTCTGTCTCCTGAAGGGTTCAAGAACCCTTTCAGGAAAAGGAACCAGAACAGAAGAGGCCATGGTTTTGTTCATTCATTAACTCATTCATTTAACAAAGATTTTATGAACTCCTCTGGTAGGCAAACATTATGCTCAATATTGGAGACTGGTGATCCAAAAAAGACACAGTCTCAGCCTTAATGGAACTTACAGTCTAGTGTAAAAATAAACATTAATAAACTAATCAAATAAATGTAAAACTACAACTATATTTCTTTTCTGAAGAAAAGGTAAGGGGTGATATAGAATGTCTAGTGAGGGTATGACCTAACAAGTGATAACATTTGGACTGAGTTCTGAATGATAAGTAGGAGTTAACTAGGTACAGGGGAGAGGAGGGAATTGGCAGAAGGCACAGCATATGCAAAGGCCCTGTGGCAGGAGGAAGAGGGTAAGTATCAGGGACTGGAGAAGGTCAGTAGAGCTGGAACTAAGAGAGGAGGGAGGGGAGCTCTGCTGGTAGTCCAATGGTTAAAACTCAGTGCTTTCACTGCTGTGGACCCAGGTTCGATCCCTGGTCAGGGAATTAAGATTCCACAAACTGTGAAGTGTAGCCAAAAAATAAAAATTTTTAAAGAGATGAGGGAGGCAGAAGTGAGTCTTGAGGCAGACAGGGTGGATCTATCCACTTAGGGCCCTGTGAACCATGGTAAGAAATTTTGTCTCTATCCTAAGAGCATTGAGATTCACTGCAAAATCTTAAGCAAGGGTGGTTGGGCAGACTGACATGTTCAGATTTTGAATAGAGAGAGGATCAGAGGGTGCAGAAGTCCTGGAGGTCAGTGGGGAGACCACTGCTATAGGGCTTGACTGGAGGAAGTATTGCTGGTGATAGTGAGAAGTTGCGGATTGGAGAACTATTTAGGGGGTAATATTTAACAGAACTTGGTGATGGATTGGGACATGCAAATTTCATGAATGCCAATACAGGAACATAGGTTCATACATGGGACCTCTCTGAGCATATTTCCTCATCTACAAGCTGGGAATTGGTAAGACTCTGCAGGAGCGCACAACACAGCCCCAGAGACACTTGATGGCACACAAAAGAGTAATGCCCGTTATTTATGTATAAGTCTCCTTATTTACATTCTTTTTTTGGGGGGGTATTTATACTATCTTTTATTCATTTATTTATTTATTTATTTTCCCATTTATTTTTATTAGTTGGAGGCTAAATTACTTTACAATATTGTAGTGGCTTTTGCCATACATTATTTACATTCTTTTATCTCAGCATTGACCTATGCGTGTCACCACTCATCAATAAGTTTGCCCAAGATAAGGGAACTCAAGTTTCAAGATAAGAAAAACCACCAGGACCACAGGTTCATATCAGGGTGGGGAAATAAAGAGGGTGCAAGCTTGGGCAGAGGCAAGGATGTCTGCCCTGCTGTCCCAGCCAGGCCTGGGTCCAATGGTGGAATAAAATAAGCAGCAAGCAGGCCCCATCAGAACTAGATGTTTTCTTTCTTTCTCTTATTTTAAAAAAAAATTTTTTTTGACCATGCCTCTTGGTTCTTAGTTCCTCAACCAGGGATGGAACCCTTACCACCTGCAGTGGAATGCCCCCTGGGCCACCAGGGAAGTCCCTAAAATATTTTACAAAAAAAGAAAAATAGTTGGAGGGAAGTTCAGGAGGGAGGGGACATATGTAGACCTATGGCTGATCCATGTTGATGTGTGGCAGAAACCAACACAACAATGTAATTATTCTTCAATTAAAAATAAATTAAGGAAAAAAGAAAAAAATACACATTCATTTTAGAAACATTTCTAAATTTTCTAAAACATTTAAAAATTCCCATAATCCTGCCACACAAAAACCACCACTGCTAGCATTCTGGCAAGTTTCTTTCTAGTCATTTTCTATGCACATATATTTAACATAGTTGAGAAAATGCTACATATAATATATAATTATTTAGAAAACATTAAAAACTATTATCATTATTATTCAAGAAATAAATTTAGCAGAAACAGACTCAACAGATACAGATAACAGACTTGCAACTGCCAAGGGGAAACAGGTAGGAGAGGGTTGGACTGGGAGTCTGGGGGTAGTAGATGCAAACAATTACATTTAGAATGGATAAACATCTAGGTCCCACTGTACAGCACAGAGAACTATATTCAATATCTGGGATAAACCATAATAGAAAAGAATATAAAAAAGAATGCATATATGTGTATAACTCAGTCACTTTGCTATGCAGCAGAAATTAACACAACATTATAAATTAACTATCAACTACACTTCAATAAAAAAACAAGTTTAAAAAAGACACATTCATTGTAGAAAATTCTGAAATATAGATACAAGAAGCATAAGTTATCTGTTTGGTATATTTTCCATTTCTTATATGCATTTACTTATTTAGGATTTTCATGAAATTAGATAATTTTGTAATATATGCATGCTATTTTATAACAATTTATTTTGAACAGTTTTTGTATTATACATATCTTTTTCAACACTGCAGCATTTTTAAAAATTTAGACTATGACTCGAAGTAAGAAATTCATTTAACTTCATGACAGATACACATACAAACATGAAATGAATGTTTCTTATGAAAAAAACTTATTTTTATTTTATTTTTTTCAAATGCTCGTGGCGAGTCACGTTGTTTTCAAGACTCACTAATGGATTCCAACCTGTTAAAGGCAGTTCCATGATCTAGTTACTCAGTCCTCTGCTAATAGAATCAGGGGTTGCTATCAATTTTTTTGTGTGCCATTATAAATATCGCTACTTTGAACATCTTTGTACTATTCCT